GGTCACCACCTGCAGAACCACCCCTTTATAGGGGTTGTCTTGCTAATTGCCTCTCATTTCCACCTGTTGTCAGTTGTCATTTGCATAGCAGCAGGTGACATTGATTCACAATCAGTGTAGCTTCCTAACTGGACGGGTAATTAATGTCGTATTAACCCCCCAAAGAGTAGATACTGAGCAAGATAGTTATCTGTAGTTTACCTTGGTACTCCTGAGTACCCGACGTAGTGCAGGACTCTGCTGTGAAGATGTAGACATGCGGCGGTGGTGTATTTGCAACGATGGAAAAAAAAAGAGAGAAATTTGAAGGAGCAGCAGCTACGATTTAGGAATGGCAGCACTCATGGGCAGAGGCCTTTTGTTTTCGGGTCATCAGTCCACCATCTCCTTCTTTGGGTGCAATATCTCACAAGTGCCTTTGAAGGAATTTCTTCAGATTTGACCCAAACATCCTTTTTATCCTCAAGATGAACTCATTCGAAGTTAGTGGTCAAAGGTCACTGTGAGCTCATAAACATTTTTTTTTAGCCATAACTGAAAAATTCACAAGGTATTTGTGATTTTTAAGACTAATGAATAACAGGAGAAAATTATGATGTGATGACATTTTACATCCAAAAGGTCAAAGGTCGGCTTCACTGTTATATCAGTGTTCTGCAAAAACTGTTTTCTATTGTTTCTCAGTAACAGTAGAGAGTGACAATGTTTCGCATTTGATTGGATGCAGAATTAACAAAATTTCATCTTGAGAGCTACTTTGAAATCGTTGTAATTATATAAATGGTCAATGCTGTCTGACTGCCTGTGTTGGCTTTTGGCTCCATCCTGTGGTCAGTGATGATTACTGCTATACTTGCATTTTGAACAGTTCAAAACAGATTTTATTTAAGTTACTAAGCACATCCTTAAATTTTTTTTAAGAACGTCTCACCTCAGACATGAAACCTAATGTGTCTCTGCTAAACCCACAGCTTTTTCTATTCTGTTTCCACTTCAGCCGCATTCAACGACTTGTGTGTATATTTTTAGAGAGAAAATGGTTGTAGTTCCTTAACGCTGACTGAAATATCTGTGAGGAGAATGTTACACTTTAAAAAACATAGTTGTTCAGGCCACACATATATGCATTTAGAAGTACAGTTTGTCTCCCACCCTGTGTAGTATAAAAGTGTACTTGTGAGCAGTCAAGCAGAAGACAGTGCTGTATACCAATGTGGTATTTAAGGGGGACAACTACTCCAACATTAGGAAGTTATTACAAATTGAAAGATTTCTTTTCTTTAAGCATCTGTCCTTTATACAGCTACAGCACATGTGAGAACTTGTGGCTCCATCATGTGGTCAGAAATGCTCCCTGCGTGGCTGGTAGCTTGTGTGTAAAGGTTTGTGGTAGTATCTGGAAACAACCTCCAGATGTCACCTAAGAGCGACATTTTTTATTGTCGCACATCACCAACTGCTACTTCCAAACCGGGGTACAATGTAAAGCAGATTATTTTCCACTTTGTCTTCTCAGATGGTAAAAACGTCTTTCGGAAACACAAATGAATTGTATCAGTATGTTTATTTTGAAGGGGAAGAAAGTACGTTTAATTAGAAAGTGAATAAGAAAATATTTGCTTAATGTTTGAAAATGGTGATGGATTAAAAGTCTTTCACTAATCTGCGAAGTTCAAAGCAGTCACTGAAAGCTGTCTATAAGTTGGTGACACTCTTGCAAGTGATTGAATATGTGTAAGACGGATAATTCATCACAGTGATCATCATGTCTCCCTTTGTTGTTGTCAGAGGAAGTTGTACGACTTTGTGCTTTTCAGCCCTCAGTGTAGGTTTCCCTTCTGGTGCAAAGCATAAGTCTTTTTGATATCAATGATGGGGATATGTTTCTGATTTCAGTGACTTTGACGATCAGAAAACAGCCATACTACAATACAAAAATAAAAAACTGATCAATTCTTACAAGTCAGCTGTTTTGGCTCTTATCTTTTGGACAAAAATGATCACAAGCACTTTAAGTAACTGCATTGTGTGACTCATCGGATTTAAGCTGTGGCTATAAGCCTGTGATTGGTTGCTCATTTTGGTCGTCTTTCTCCTCCACTTTTGTTATGTGTATTATCGTGTTCAAAATCCACTTCACTACAGGAAACAACAGCCAACCTACCACACCAAAAATTTTGTTGAGGATTTGGATTGTGCACTTTGCTGGTTCTATTAGTTGTATGGAAACCCTTTAGAGCAGAGTAATCAGTCTGTTTGACCTTGGTATTACTTGATGCTTTCTATGAAAAAATGAATTACTATACTTAATCGATATGTTTGTTTATTTTTATTGATTTTTGATTGTTTATTTGATGTGGACATCACAGTTACATTGGACAAACCAGATGCATTGTTTGAGTGTTTTAGCACATGTGCTAAATCCCAACACTTGTCCACAGGAGGCTTTTGAAATGATAAAAATAGTAAAAGTAAGAGGAGAAGAAAAAAAGAGGGTCAGAAATAAATGATACAGTATACAACAACATTACAACAGTTAAAGAGAGGCAGTTTATCCATCCATTGTCTTCCGCTTATCCGGGGTCGGGTCGCGGGGGCAGTAGGCGGAGCAGGTCATCCCAGACCTCCCTCCCCTCGGCGACGCTTTCCAGCTCTGCCTGGGGGATCCTGAGGCGTTCCCAGGCCAGCCGAGAGATATAATCCCTAAGTTTATCAAAGCTTTAAAAATAATAAATGTTGTAGCAGTTCTTTACAGTGCTTCCTATCACAAGACATTTAATTTGAAAACATTCACATTAAAGCATGGTTATTTTTGAAAAACATCTGCGTAAATATTTCAACAGTAAAACAAGTATCCTAATCACATACCAAGAACTTGGTTCACTTTTATTTATTTATTTATTTTTACTGTGTTTATAAGTCAATGACTCATGATTGTAATATGAGGTTACCATGAAGGGTTAAACAAGTGATGCATGCCAGTAAAGCTGTGGAGAAAAAATCATGTTGCATTCTGATGTTCCTCAGATCGGGTTTGTCTTGTTTTTTTTTTCACTTTAACAGCTGTGTAGATGACTTCAGATTCACGGTTTTCTGAAAAGAAAAACGAAAACAGATGTGTAGTGTGCAAGAAGAAATCTATGTTTGTTTGTTTTTTTTAAATCTTTTTTGAAGCACGTTTTTATCTGCTTACCCTCATTAGCACTTGTAGGGCTTGTGGGGATTTGTCGTGTTTCTTTACAATAAGCTATAACAAGAATCAAGGCCAAAAAAAAGAATGCCGTGACAGCACTTGCAATCACAGCAACATTCACATCCGGAAGAGTTGGAACAAAACCTAGAAAAAGAAAATATCAGAGAATATTAAATGTAAACATTTCAACGACATTGTACCTGGATGCCGATTAAGTATTTCTTGCTTTCTCTTTCATCCATATTTAAGTTCTGTGACTGAAAATATATATGTAGTTTCAAATAGAATCATCGGTCGTTTACCTGCTG